CTTCATGCTATCCTTTTTTAAGTGGATTTTTTATCCAAACTAATTCGTTTTCTTCAAAATAACTATGTTGGCCTTTGTTTAACTGGTCGTGTTTTACTACAGAGGTTTCTAATTTTTCAGACATTGAAGGTTTCACCCAGTCTAATAAAGTATTTAGTCTTTTCCCCATAAATAGTTTGGCAGGTATTCGGCCCGTTGAGGAGTGTTCGGAATTTCTATATGTAACTAATACTTCATTTAGGCATTTTTCCCCATCATTTGTTTGTTCTCTATTTGCAAAATACCGATTTTTGATAGTTTGTATGCAACTTTCTACTAATCCGTTACTTCTCGGATGGTATGATGTAGTTTCTATATGTTGTATATTCTTATTTTTGTACCATTTATAAAATTCTTTTGAAATGAATTGTGGACCATTGTCTGTGACAATTTGACGTGGAACACCATATCGTGTAAGCCATTTTTCTAATCTATTTATTAAATTTTTACTTGTGGTATCTTTGATTCTAACGATCTCTATCCATTTTGAATATGCATCGATTCCTACCAGCCAATAAAATCCGTCTAGTGGTCCAGCAAAATCTAAATGTACCCTATCCCAGGATTGTGCTGGCGGATTCCATGTGTATACGGCAACTTCGGGTATATCTCTGCGATGTTTTTGACCCCCAATACAGCGGTTGACTAATTTTTCGACATCTTTATCTAATTTTCCCACCATATATAATGTCTCGTCATGGATTTCATTGATGTAATACCGGGATAACCTATATGTAATTAATATCTGTAAAACTCGTTTTTGTAGTGAATATGGAATTATTAATCGACCATTCTAAAATAGGATACCGTCATCTTTTCTAATTCATCTATTCTTGTTCTAAAAGCTTGTAATTCTGGTGCTTGATTTTGTATATTTGTACTATTTATTAATATTTTTACTCTTCTTAAAATTGGATCTTTCACAGCTTCATCTCTAGGTTCTTTTTTAGATAGAGTTAATGTGTCATAAGTTATATTTTGTATATATTTCACTGTTTTTTTTTCGCTTGTTATTTTATTATCATTTTTCTCTATTGGGTTTCGCGATAAAGCATCTGCAGTTATATTATTAGCGCCATTCTTGTACATTATATCATAATCATATGCCGATAATTTATAAGCCCAACGTAATAATCTCTGGTTTGTTAAGAAGTTTAAATTTCTGTTATCACCATATATTTTTATTAAAGATTTGTGGTCCGTTCGTATTTTAAATTTTCATCCATACAAATAGTTATGAAATATTTTTTTACGCCGTTTACTATGGCTTTGGCTTCTTTATAGATTGTCGAATAATTCTTTTCAGCATCTTGTAACGTTCTCGAGGTGTAAGCCATTGGGTATTCGTTACCATTATCATATTTTTGCAGGAGTACAGCTCCAAATCCTTGGTTAGATGCATCTGTTTCTAGTATTAACTCAAGATCCGGTTTATAAAATTGTTTGGTATTTTGTTTTGTTACTATTCCTTTTGCTTTTTCAAATAATGCATCATCTTTTTTAGTCCAATTCCATTTAACATTTTTACTAGTTTTATTATGTAATTCGGCTATGATTCCATGTAAGTTTGGTATGAACCGTGTATAATAGTTTAATATACCTAAAAATGATTTTATGTCATGTCTATCTTTTGGAGTTGGATATTTTTGTATTGCTATTATTTTATTTTTATTCTATTATGTATCATAAATATGATACTTTTTCTTTCATACTTGCTTGTTTGACTTTTAATCCCGCATTCTGTAATTTTTTGAGGACTTGTTTTATATTTTCTATATGTTCAGTATAATTTTTCCCTGTGATTATAACATCATCTAAATAAACTGATGTATCTTTACAATCAGCCAGTAAATCGTCCATATATCGTTGAAATATTATTGGTGCTGTAGCTATACCAAAAGGTAATCGTAAATAGCGGTAGTATCCATTTGGTGTTACTATTGTTAATAATTCTTGCGATTCATCGTCAGTCTGTCGAGCCCGTATCATATTCCATTTTAATTTTTTGGTTGTTTATTAATACCTCAATTGTTGGATGTTGTCCATATTTGAATATTTTTTTTATTGAGACATCCGAATCGTCGTCTTTATTATTGTAATTTATACCGTAAATCTTTTCTTTAGCTTTACAACATACTGCGAAGTGGTTTGGTTTCCTACATTTGCTGCACAATTTTCCGTAGGCGGGACAATTTCTAATAGCATGAAACCTATTACAGAAATAGCATGGTTTTCTCAAATTACTCTTATTATTTGTGTGGTAGTTATTATACCCTGGCACTAGTTCTCTTTTTACATATACTTTATTATCCTTTTGATAGTGCCGTTTATCATTATCATTATTATTATACTTCCGATTGTTTTTATCATGTTGATTTATCCGATTATTATTATCATTATGTTTAGTCGTCTCTTTGATTTTATATACCATTTTAGCAGTATTATTTATTTCTGAGTCAGCCCATTCCATAGCTAAAGCCAATTCTACAACTTTGTTTAAGCTCAACGGTTGGTCTTCGTCTTTAGTATTTGGATATCTTAAACGTAGTTCTTTATCTAGTTGTGACATTTTTAGTCCGGCGATTAATTGATCACGAATTCTTAGTTCTTATCTTCAAATTCGCATCTTCGGGCTAGCTCCTTTATATTTTTTAAATAGCTTATTACGGATTCAGTAGGCCCGCGACTTAATTTAATGAAATCAATTCTAGATGCCAAGATAGTTCTTTCATCTTTATAGTTGTTTAGCAATTTTGTATATGTCAATCCATCCTACCTCCTCTATTTTCCTAGGGTAGATTAATTTTTTGATATCTGTTATAATGTTTATTCCTCCATAAGCTATAAATAATTTTTTTAACGTGGCGTCAGTTTGAGGAATATTCACATTCAGTATATATTTTATATAATCAATGTAGTCATCGATGGAACAATCTTCTTTTTTAAAATCCTGTAAAACTATTTTATCCATAATTTCAAAAATATATTTTTATAAACAGAAAATTTTTTATAATTCTATATATTATTAAACTTGACCGAAGACCGAAAACCGTGCGACTTATATATTTTTTTTTATCTCGTCGCCATTTTTTATACTCAAAACAATCGATTCTTTATTTTAAAATTGATTCCTATTTGTATTTTATAATTATGTCATTTAACTTCTACTAATATGCAATTACATTGACCCCATAAGATAATATGAAATGTAAGAAAGTTATAATAATATATTATACAAATAACGTAACCTTTTAAAATATATATCTTAACCTTTACAATATATATTTATTCAAATATAACAAAATTATTTTCAAAATTACCTTCTTAAACTCAAAATTACTTTTTTTTAGCTAACATTATATAAAAAAAATTCAAAATTTTGAGGGGGCTCTTCAAATTTTTCAGGGAGCTCCAGCCCCTGCGCCTCCCAGTGACGCCACTGAAGGGAGCTACCTGAAGAGCAGTATTGTGTAATGGTTTATCCACTAATATAAATGTGCCAAGGTATATTTAGATCCAAATTGTTGTAATTGTTAAACCAAATTACAAAGCCGATGGATATTCAAATCTACTCAAGAAAAAAGAATTAAATTTCGAATGCAAATGATTTAAAGAAAGATGAATAAAAAAGAATGATTATTCAAAATAAAGAAAGTTCAAGATTTTTTTTCAGTTTGTTTGTAAAACATTATGTAAATGAATTATAGAAAAGTATATATATATTCGAGGATATTTGTATAGATAGAGATCATGATTTTACGAACTTAATTATAATTTTTAATTTTAATTTTTTTTAATTAATTTAGTTTGATTATATTTTTAACTTATTATTTAATAAAGATTTAGTATCATTTTAGTTCTAACTTTTCTGATTTGACGAATATTATAGAAAAATATATATAATCGAGGATATTAGTCTGATTTAGTATCAGTTTAGTTCTAACGAGGATATTAGTCTGATTTAGTATCTTTTATTCTAACCTTTCTTATTTAACAACGATTATAATCTTCCAATTCTTATTTTAATTGTTCTAAATGTTACACAAATCACTGCGTATCGTATTTCATTAAGCAAATCATGTCGATTTTATATATAAAAATAGAATTAGCAAAATATATTATTAGTATTACGCTCCTTATTATTGATCTTGGAATGTTTCTCCACAGCTTGATCATATATCATACATCCAACGTCGCATAAACTTTCATCAAAATTACTTGTGTGACTAAAATAAGAAACACAATAATTTGGACCTAAAGAAGCACCAGTTGACACATTTTTACATTGGCTACATACTAATGCTTTATAGATGGCCCCAGTGTAATAAAAACTGTGCATTGGTTACTATATTTGCTAACATCTCTGCAGTCACATATGCAACTAAAAAATATCCTAATGAAAAATTTCCTTGTACCATCTAAACATGTTGCCATAAGAAAAAGAGCCTTGCTAGCCTCAGAGAGAGATTCAGAATATTTTGTTCCATTGCCCTAAATCTATTTATCCATGGAACTCCTTTTTGATGCAATAAATATGTTGTCGAATATACATTTCATAAAGGCTTAAATAGTGAATTTGACAGTAGAATTTAATTGAAACATTTTAATTCTTTTGAACGAAGAATCTAAAAAAAATATAAATAATTTCATCATAACTCATAAAAGCCTAATACAAATTTTTAGTTTAATTTATTTAGGAGGTGTTCAAAATTATTTTAAAAAGATTGGCAAAGTTTTTAATTTTATATTAAAAAGGATTATTTTATGTTTTTAAGTTTTGAAACTTTTCGAATTAAATTTTTTGATGTTTTGGATGCAGCCTTAGAAATAAAATAGAAAAATACTATTAACATGTTTTTCCTTATACGCATTTTAATTTTAAATCAGATATACATCATTTTATTCTTTTCATTTGCATGTCCTAATTACATTTGCATAAGAAATAATCACTAGAAAAAATTTTATTTACCCAATAAAACAATACTAAAATCATTTTCAAATTATAATAAAAATTGAAATTTTATAATGAATCCATCCAACACAACAAATATAGTAAATTTTATATATAAAAAAATAATATATACATAAAAAATTTAATTTTTTTAAAAATATCTAATCAATTATCAACAATAGAATCCATCTTATCTATTATTTCGTCCTTTTTAACGCTATTATTTTTTTCAGAATCGCTATAAATCTGCCTGGTCATTTTACCCGATACCGCTTTTTCTGCATTGGAAACCCACACTGTCATGACTTCCTTCAGCGTCTTATCTAGTTTTTGTAATTCATTGATCTGCGTTAATGGGTAAATTACGGTTAAAAGTGTTATAAATATCCATTCTTGATAGCTAGTAAAATAAACACACTGCACAGTCAAATTACTTACCAACTACAAATTCAAATGGTTTTATTTATATATATATATATATAATCAAATATAAACATGGAAGATTAATAAAAGGTTATCCACAAAAGAAATTAATATGCAAAAATATTTTTAAAGACCTTATCTTGTATAAAATTGGATGTTTCTTTTTTCAATATTCGGGTTGATAAAGTTAAATGAGATTTCCCTGCCACCGTTACCAAAAATTACTATCAAATTGATTCTCAAGCTATCAATCAGTACTGATAGACTTGTCAAAAAATAAAAAATACCAGCAGCCAATGTCCGAAAAACAGAGTTTGAAAGAAATCCAAAGATTTTTTTGCCCAAAATTTTAAGCAAAAGATTATAAAATTGAAGATATTTTTAAATTAAAATTTTCGGATTTTTTTTATGCATAAAAATAACAAAATATTTGAAATTTCAGGTAAAATTTGATAAAAAACCCTGTTTGAGTTTTCTCCATGAAATGTATTTCAAACTCTGCCCTAAAATAAATATTAACCCTATTAAATTAGAAAAGAAATCTTAATATTTGGTATCGAGCATGATTATATCAAGCCCACTCGGCTAAAAACAACTGACATCAGTGAATATCTTTTAATTAATCAATTTTGAAAAAAAATTATTTAACAATAATTAACGCCGAAAACCTTATCCGCCATATCGTTCGAGTCACCTTTAAGACTGCTTTGCAAATCGTTTATTTTTTGGTGAATTTTTTTCAACTCACTTTCAATCTTTTTTTTGTTGCCAGTAAAATTCGTTAAATCTTTGTCAATCTATTAAATAAATATAAAAATATAATATACCACTACGCAATTACGCATATTTCCCTCCCTCTCCCCGTTGATAGTTATCTTGGATATTTTTAGCATTTAAAAGTAATTGCTAATCAATTTTTTTTAAACTCTAAAATTTTCGTATGAGGCATGCAAACAATTATATAGGATAATAATGGCTTATAGGCTAACCATGAACGAAATAGTTTAATATTTATTACGTGAACTCTGAAACATAACGCTTAAATATACAAGTTTATTTTAAAGATTATAACCTTAAATTTGCCGATGCATTCGGTGTAAGAATCGTATAGGGTGTTTCTTTCGTGCTGCAGATACTTTATTTTATCCAATTGACCAGAAACTCTTAATTTTGTTTCACTCATTTCGTCCTAAAAAAATTTATTATAGTTTATCACTTCATATACTATAATGTACTATATAAGATCGGGAAGTAATTAATTTTTTTATGGTATATTATATGTGCATTAGAGTCCTGGATGGTTTGTCCGAGATAAGATCAATAAAACAGATTGGCTTATGGCCTGAAAAATTTTTAATGTTCACATTTTCCTCTAAAATATATGAAAAGTTTTTTAAAATAAATAGGGGGTGGGAAATATTTATTAGTACCATATTTTGAAGTTTGAAATTTCTTCCTTTGTAAGATTTTAAAAAAAAAATCGGGCAATAGGCTAAAACAGGTCAGGCCTAGATCTAAAAAAAATATGCCATCGAGCTGCGGATGGGCTTGGGCATTAGTATAACATGGAATCTCAGTTTATAATAAATATTTTTTTTAAAAAGTTATACTATTTTATACTTAGTAGTATATCATGAAATCTTATATTCTTGAAAAAAATTTTTTTTACTTTTAAACCTAATCTTGTGCATCTGAGCATAATAATTTGACAATCATTTTTTATTATTTAGATAATCAACTTTAATTTTTTTAAAAAAATATTTGGGCATTTCTAATTTGAAACATGTGCATTTATACAAATGAATTGAAAATTTCTTTATTGCTATATTGATTAATCGGAACAACAAAATTTTAAATTTTTAGTATTTTTAAGTTTAACTTAATTAAAATTAGTGTAATGTATTTTATTCAATAAAATGCGCATAAAAATTGTTTAATATACCTATATTTTATATTTAAAAAACATATTTATGATTTTTTTTTTACAAAAAAAGGAAATTAAAAACTAGCGTAAAATAATGAATTTTATTAAAAAATGAATTTAAATTTTCATTTTAATTAAAGATCCCAATTTTGATTGAAATTTCTTATTTTGACAAAAAAAGTCCACTACAAAATTTTGTTGAAAAATTAAATTTATTGTCATGACAGTCATATTTTCCTCGGCAGTTGCATATATATCTAAAAAAATTAATTGTTCCATAACAATTGGAATGTTGGCGGGTGTTATTAATACTCAAATGCAAAAGTTTAATTTAAAAAAAGGTAATAATTTTTAAAACAAAAATAAAGGGGAGTGTTGTGATATATGTTCAATTTATATTTAAAATGTTTATATTTTTACTGTTCTGAGGGCGATATTTTGTTATATATAAAAACATACAATTTACTTTCATAATAACAAGGGAAAAAATTTTACTTATATAAAAAATCAATAATATTGATAACATTTCGATTTTGACTTATATTTTTAAGAAATATTATTTTATTTTAAAATGTATTTTATCGTTATTATAATTATAGTTGAAACATCATTATATTCTTATTCTTAGTACTACCATAAAATAAAATCACCATCGAATATTATGGTTCTTATTTATATTTCAGAAAAATAAAAAAAATGATTCATTACTTAAAATAAGATTCCACGGTACACTAGTTTTCAAATGCAATCCCATCAAAAATATATATACATTAATAAATATGATGAAAAGGAAAAATGCAGGTTTCTTTGATGGATTTAATAATAAATATAATTTACTTTTGTGATTGAAAAATCTAGGCGCACATAAATGATAACGGCACAAAAGAGCAGAAAATAGACTGATATAAGTAATAGAGGTTCTTGGAGCATGTAGACCTTTTCGAACTTGTAATGAACCTATATGATAAATAATATAATAATAATTAAATAATCTCATACACTATGAAATTACATTTTAATTTGCTAAAATTCTGGCTAGTATTGCTAATCGATAATTTTAACAATTATTAACTTACAAAAAAAGTTATATCAATATAAGTAGGTAATACTAATAAATAATTTTTAAATCCAATATGCTGTAATTCGGATTGAAATTCCAAAAAAATAATAATACTCTAGTATATATTTTGAAGATTGGGTTTGGATAATTATAGATAATACCCAACTTCCTATAATATCGTCTATATGCAATTTTTTATTTTTTGGATTTTGATAAAAATAATATATATATATAATAAAGAATATTAAATTTTATTAATTATATTAAAAAAATGGTAAAATGATATAAAGGCGCTTAATAAATTAAATCCATCTTCATAAATAATTGACCATTTGATTTTTAAATTTGGTTATACCCCCCATGTTTATCATGCATTATTCCCATAAAACAGAATTCCATATATCTTCTAGTTTTCTTTAGATTCATCCTAGCAAGGGTGGATTTTAAATTGTTTAGGCTGATCCAATTTTTCATTTAAAAAAATCGTTAAAAAATAGAGGTAGCTAAAATTTGATATTATTATTTACACAAAGAATTTAAAAATATCTAACGAGTCACATTCAGCGAATGTTGTTAAACTGCTCGATTTAGAAGGCCAAAGGTAAATCAGGATTTTTTGGTGAATCATTAGATTTTACCTTTTTTTAAAAACTAAAATGAACAATTATTTATAAAGATTATATATATTAATGTAAATATACTAGGTATACTATATTAAAAAAAATAAAAATGTTTGATTTAAATTGAATATTATTTATATCGTTAAAAATGCTTAAAATAAAAAATAAATTACGAATAGAAGATTAATATATGAAGTTGGGTAGATTCTTTGTCTGATATACATTTTTTTTAACGTAGCCCGGGACCAATTGATAGTGGACCGAGTAGGATTTCGATCCCAATATGTCCATAGGCCAAGGACGGTGACCTTAAATTTTCGGCCCATGCGAGTCTTTATTTCCCAGAGGAAATTTTAATATCTAGTTATATACTATAAAATCTTGGATATGTTCGTCGATCAGATTTTCCTTAGACAATTCAAGGACGGGTCTACCAATAGTGTCCAAATAAGTGTAATGCCTTTTTACAGGCATTTTAGAGTCGGACGAATCGCGTCTATTAACTGAGTAGGGAGTGTCGACCTTGACAATGCTTATAAATTTTTAGAATTTTTTTTACTATTATTAAGGTGTAATACTAATTTCATAAATTCACATAAATTAAAATGCTCCTAGTGAATTAAAAAATAAAGCGAGTTAAAATGGGGCGAATATTGGCATAGAAAATATATGTAATAATTATTGGGGGAAGGGGAATGATAAAAAAATTTACCTAGCACCTTCCGGAAAGATCACTTTGACCACAGCCTTTTCGATAACTTGATCATGGTATATATGATCGACGAATCTCATTTTTAACTCGTAATCCGCGCCTACGATTTTTTAAAAGTAGATAAATAAAAAATTATTGGATTTAGATAGAAGAGAGTTATGCCAAAACAGGATTTAAAAGAGTGAATAATCTACTCATCACTTAATTAAAGCTCATAAAATTTGAATATACTTTAAGAATATGACGAATGTGATATTTGATTCCATTCCAACGCGAATAAAATGATATCAAGAAAAAAACGTTATAAGTTTTAAACATCAATTCCATTTTAAAGCAATACTAGAATTAAATTGATTCGTATTCGAAAAATCGGTTTAAGTTCTAATTCATGGCCATGTGCATAAAACATATTAATTCGACATAATACCCACTATTGCAAGCGCACATGTAAAACATACAAAAATACTAACCTCTATGGGACAGGTAAGGATAGGTAGGTAGGTTGTACCCGAGTATATAGTTGGTCTTCCAGCCTCCGAAAAGTGGGAACCTGGGTTTAATGATGACCTCAACGGGACCCGTATCCGAACCGCCCAACTCGTCACTGTGCTGGTGATAGATAACGTTGGAAGTCGAAATGTTGCCTATCTGATCCTTATAATACACGTCCCGAGCATGGGTAGGAAGTATGGTCTGGAAAGCGGGTGAGGAAAAAGGAATACATCAATTAAGGCTTAATTTAAAATAATTAGAAATGGTTGGGCGCAGCACTCTATGAAAGAGGAAAAGAAATTTGTCAACTGGAAAAGGCTAAACGAATCTTGTATTTTATTTTCAGGAACGAACAGAGGCATAAAGACCTAAATACCTAATCCTTTCGTCAATAATTTTGTCCACTTTTATTATAAAATATAAATATTTCCGTTATTCATTCTCTAAATTCAAAAGATATGTCATATATGCTCACGAAAACTCCATATCATAGAATCTTGAACTATCTTATTACTAAAAAGTGGAACAGGTTCTTTTCTCAAATAAAAAAAATCACCATCTTTTCAAGAAAAATAAACTTTTTAGCATTCCACAGATGGAGGTATTCATTGAGAAAAGAATTCTAGTATATCTTGTAAAAAAGCGGAATATTATTACCGTTTGCCATCTAATTTTCAATATTTCGCAAATTTTAAAGTAGACATGACCTGGATTCCCATTTATATCTTAATTGGAATTGATGATTAAGAGCTCAGCTACACTATATGTAACAGACTTAATATTTCTTTTTATTAACCACATAATGCAGCAAATGCCAAGGTGATGCTGACTGCTTGGCATCGCATCCTTTACACTGTAACTCGACATGCTAAACGCAATTAAATAATATTTCTCCAGATTTTCTCACTACATTAGAACCTTCTAATATATTTTTTGACAGTAGACGTCCTGAAGTAATTAAAATTGTTGGACACAAGATAAATTTCGAATATGGAATTCCTCGTGCATAGGCAAGAATTCCCTATTTAACATCAACAAGGACACAATTTATCAGGGCCCAAAATTTAAAAATTGCTGAATATTTTGCGGACTAATCTTGTTACATTTTCATACCAATGTTCGACCCCAATATATGCCGAAATTCTTCAAATGACGTAGATAGTCAAATCAAGAAAAATTCGGTCATGAAGGCTTTTATTTGAGACAAAATAAGCAATAGCTATCCCAAAGGAAAATTACGTTTGTTTTTTTAACTCAATAGACCAAGATGATTAGAATTATACACAAAAGAATTCCCCCATTCTTTCTAATATTCCATATGATTATTTTTTGATTAAAATTTATATTTGAATTTAATTTTGTTATTAATATTATAGTTGTCATATTAACTTTTTCTATTATATTTGTTATATATAATATTACATATATCTTTGTAGATTTTTTTTAAAAAAAAAATTATAAAGATAATATAAATTTAAAAATATATATTAATGAAATAATTTTAAAAATAGAATACTTACAATCATAGTTTTGCAAAAAAAAATTAAGTTGGTAATCATAAGAAAATTAAGGCTATATATATAATAACGTTAATTTGATTGTTTAACTCGTGAGCTATCTTTTAATATGTAATATTTTTATGCGAATTATAGTTAAATAAAATAATTAATTAAAGTATGTACAATTTAAATTTCCTATCATATAACTAAAAATGATCGAGAGGTTACACAGTGGTAAGCATAGGCGACTATGATAATTGTACCTGGTTGAATACCAGTTCAATAATCTGATGAGTCCTAATAGGACAAAACTAGTCATATTATGTTGGAACACCTACAACCAAATCTTTCGTAGCAATAGTTTAACAACAATTTGATTCTAAATTTATATTTTTCAAAACTTAATTACTAATTTTAACTTGAGTTGTTATATATTAATGCATGATATACTATAATCCGAATTTAGAATATAACTTATTAAAAAAATAAAAGTAAATAAGATAGCTCTTGGATAAAGCATAAATCTTAACTTAATTATACATATTATAACTATCGATGCATTTATAGTAAGCGCATAAACTTCATGATGTAACATTTAAAGAAATTATAAATATAGTTATAAATTATCCAGATTCGCGTTATATTCACGGATTACTTTGAAATATGGAGTCTTAATTTTAAAAAAAATTCAAATATATAATTCAGAGAGTTGCAGACCCGGCCCGGGTCGTATTTTTATTTTTTTTAAATATACCCGCCGTGTATTTTAAAACCGAATATTTTAAATCGCCATTATAAGCCATAAAAATAATATATTTTTAAAATATCCGAGGCAGAAAATTTTTTCTAAAAATAGCCTTAGGCTAAACTGGCCAAAAATTTTTTAAAAAAATATCCAGGCGGGGTCTTGCAAATGGTACCTCTGCAGGTCTCTGATATAATTTAAGTGATAATATTTTAAAAAATTAAAGAAAAGTAAAATATGTATAAAAAATAAAAATATAACAAAGAATAGATAAATAGTTTAATAACGAAGCTTGTTTATTGATTAATTTTTTTAAATAATGAATTAATAAACATTCTCCTGGATTGTATCTTCATTTAGCCCATTTTGTTTATTATCTACTTTTATATATTAAAAATCAATCAGATATGATATTGGATTGGTAGATCGGTCAATATCAATTTAATTCGGATCGGTTTCTTCAAATGGTATCGGCACACCCCTAGACAATAGATAAAAAGGTAAGCGGAAAATAATTCCCCGAAAAAACCCCAATAATAATTCTTAGATAATAATTCCCCGGAATTAATTTTCTTAAAATTTCTAAACATTTTATTTAGGATTTTTATTTCGTGGATATATTTATAGGGAATTTTTTCTCCTATTTTATTAATTTTTAATATCTTAATAAACGGGGATTTTTTTCGTTGGAATAATTTTCCTAGATTCAGAATAAAAAGGGGAACTATGCCATGTGGGAGACTGTGAAAAATATACGCGTAATAAACTTGATAATTAGTCAAAGCAATTCCGGCCTCCCCACCTGGCTGTTGAAATTTGAAACGAGAAAATGGCGGTATAAGAGTAGCCCCCTGATTTTCTATATCTATGAGCTCTTTCACGGAAATGAGTCCCCAATGAGAAATTTCGATCTCCCGGTCTAGATTGGTTATGATGGGTATAGGGACGTCGTGTTCGTAATGGACCGTTAATTCATGCTATATTTATTTATAGTATTTAAATTAAAATAATAAATAAAAAGGGGTAAGTAAGTGGGTAGCTATCCAGGCATTATTATAATAATTTTTTCTTTTTGTTCGATCCCCGGTAGGATTAACATTTTTATCGGATAAGGTTTGGGTCAAAATAGCTATCCACCGATAGTAAATACATTTTTTTTGGAGTGTTGTAGTTTATTTTTTTTAAAAATGGTGAACAGCCTTCTTTCTTATTTTAAAGGGATTTTAAACGTGTATTCATTATTTCTTTTGACGAACATGAAAAAGTTTAAATTTCCATTAATTAATTTTTGGACGACCATCTCTAAAATGAACGAAACTTGTCATGATAGTTATCTATGTTGTATATTTTAGTAAAATCAAAATTTTAGAGCGCTAACTCAACCAGATCCAAAGATAAAAGTCTTCAAAATCGAAAACCGAATCTTGTTTTTTTAAAAAATACTTAAGATAGAAGTTACAAACTATATATCATTTTAGACCTTAAAATTTTACATTGAAAAATATCGAAAAAAATTTAAAAATTTCAAGTATTTTCTTATTTCCGGTAAAAATACAAAATTAACATTGTTGAGAAGGATTTTTTTGGGAGTTGTTAAACCTTTATATTAAACTATTTAATAAATAATCTCGATAACCATTTTTGTTTTTTTAATTTTATTTTTATTCATTTTATAAATAAAAATATATTAATATAAATTGTATTGGTGTAAAAATAAAAAAATCCGATGAATATAACCAATATGATGTTCTGGGGTAATATGCAAGTAACCCATACAGATATGATTATTATTAGGACGCTATAGTGTAAAATAAACATAATTTAAAATACAAACTATTATAAAAACTCTAGTTTTTAGCGTATTCCTTTTTATAATTATTAATAAAATTTTCTAAAGCAATATTTTGATGTCCTGTCGCTGTTATGGGCTCTACTATTGTTTATACAGTGTTGTGCAGATTTGATGCAAAACATTTTCATATTTTTTAAATTTATTTTCAAATAAAATTATTTAAGTTCCAAAGAATTTTTCATATCAATTTTTACATGTTAAGTAATTTTATTTACAATCGAATTAAAAAATATGAAAATGTTTTCCATTAAATCTGCACAACAATGTAATTGATTAATGGGCAACCATCTCCAATTTTCAATTGTAGAGTAAAAGAAGGTAGCTAACCACCAAAAATCGTCATAAATAATTGTCGGCATTTATTTAGGACTATGGTATGGATCGGTCTTTTTTTCTAAACATATGTTTATGACGATTTTTGGTGGTTAGCCGCAGTACTAAAAAATTGAAATTACTAAGGAGATATTTATTTCTTTTATACATCCCAATGGACAACCGCATCCTTCCTTTACCCCGCAATTGACATCAAATAATAAAGATAATAGATCCACAACAGCTACAGGATATACTTACAAACTATGGCATCAGAAAATTCTAATAATAAACACACATTAGAATTAGAAAGATAAGATTTTTTTTATAATAGTTTGCATATAAAATTTTAAATATTTTTATTTTACAATATATTTCATAATAATAATCATATCTGTATAGGCTGCCTGCTTACATATCGCCCAGGATATAATAGGTTATACTTAAGAGATTTTTTGTTGAATAATTTAATATAAAGGTAATAAACTAGAGAATATCAACAAAAAATCCCTTCTTAACAATGTTAATTTTTTTATCGAAAATAAAAAAACATTTGAAATTTTATATTTTTTCTCTCGATATTTTCCAATGTAAAATTTTAAGGGCTATAAAATTGTATATACTTTGTAACTCACTTAAGTATTATTTTAAAAAAACAATACTTAATGAAATTACGCATTATGCGATTTTCGACTTTGAAGATGTTTATCTTTGGATCTGATTGAGTTAGCACTCTAAAATTTTAAACAAAATAAATAACTATCATGCCAAGATAGTCGTCGAATCACTGGTCGCTTTGGCATGGAATTACCCTATAGACAAACTCAGCGATTTTCTTATTTTAGTATATAAGATATATTAGGCTAATAAATTAATTATTTCCAAAAAAAACAATAAAATGCAAACAAAACAATTTAATGAAATATATTGATAGATGATTTGAAGAGAGGCAAACTAAGTTTTAAATTTGCAACAGCCATCTTTATGTCAAACTCAATGTTAGTGTATTGACAGTACAAACTGCAATGGAGGGTTAATCTTTAAACCCTCCATTTATGCCTTAGATATTTACTCAATAAAAATTTATTGGTAATTGAAGAAATAACACACAAAAATAACATCCTCCAATAATTGATAATGCAGGTTATATGAAGCATGAACACTTGTAAGAAATCAATATTCAATTATCAAACGCTTCATGTTTTAAACTCATGAATTAAATTTACTTTTAAAGGATATAGCAAATAAAAGTAGCAAAGGGCAAAAATATTATAAAATCCAGGATATTTCATAATCCTGAAATGGGATCAAAATATTAATAAGATTAGGAAACTGGTTTTCATAAGAGCAAATCTTCAATTTATAGGAAAACATTTTTGGGAAATGACAAATTGCTATATTTTATGTCAAACTTTGGCATGGAATCGTTTCCATCTTTAAACAACGATAAATAACATATTAAATTCAATTATATCATATTTGTTCAAATAATATGTTAATTATGTGTAATAAAACATGAAAAAAAAATCAATATACACCTGTAAAATATTTTTAAAAGAAAATTTCATGTAGTTTCTATATTTTCTCCTTATTATAGTTTACCAGGAAATTTTTAGTTTTACTTCAGATCCTTGGTAAACTATTCATTAAAGAAATATAATTTGACTACCACTATAAAATGAGTAGGTGATGAATTGCCCTGAATCATTATATGGTGGTTTGACTATAATTCTTAGAAGGTTTAAAATTAGACTAATTTTTTTATGCATAAATAAATCACAAAGGAGGGCTGTAACCATTTTTTTCCTCTCACCAATAAAAAATGTCATTTTATCATCAGTTCATCAAAAAATAGATAAATCAAGGCAATCTTATATGATATGATTACTTATAATATTATATTATTGATAATCCTATTTCCTTAAATTTTTAATATTTGTAAATTATTGTTTACATAATTTATTTTATTTTTTGTTATTATATATACAGAATAAAATTTTAGATCATTTAGATATATTTTTTGTTTATCCATATTGAACCATATCAACATAAGGTTGGAAATTGTTTTGTTAATAATTAAAAAGCAATTAAAATGATAGATGTAATATTGGTATTAAAAGTATACCTAAATTTGCTAATGACATATGAGACGGTATTTATCATAATATAATTTATGTTATTATTTTAATCAGAAACATCAAATATAAGTAATTTTTAAATGGAGCTTATAAATTTCATAATCAATGAGAAAATAACTGCAAGTTACTGATATTAATATTTTAAAAAATTAGGTAATACACAGCTCAAAAATTTGGGCAATCATTAGAAAACTCATAGTAACCTTTAAAAAAAAATAATATTTATACATTTATTTTTGTCAAAAAAGTTATTTAAACCCTTTACAGCATTGTCAAAAGAACACAAGACAAGATGAATTATATTTAGAATTTGTAAAAAGGCTGCAGAATAAAATATATAATAATGAAATGGTTGATTTTGATGACATTCTTACCATAACAAGTGATGTGCAATGTCTAAAAAATGATGAAGTGAATTTTGAAATTATTAAAGCATATCTAACAAATGATGCATGAGTGAAGATTCAGGATTTAAATGAGTCCTGAATTTGTCAGAAATGTTAACTATCTTCAGATGAAGATGCATCCATAATTTGTGATATCTTCTTCTGGTTCCACTTCAGATGTCAAAATATTATAAAAAACTTTATAAAATTTATTGGTTTTGTGATGATTGTCATTAAATATATTTTTATTCGTATTTAATATTTTAATTATAAAATGATTGTCATTATTTATTTTTTTATTAGCATTATAGTCGTAAATGAAATGAATATTTTATTGAATAAAATAATTTCAATTAAATATGTTTATTTGATTTTATCTCATTTATTATTTATGTTATGCTAGAACAAAAAAAAGTTTTTTGGAAGATAAAATTTTTCTTATGCAACTGAGAAGATATATTTCAATAGTATAAATAATAAAGATCCTATCAATTTTATATATGAAAATAATATTCATTCAATAATTAATTAATATTTTAAATATATATAATAATTTAAGAGTTAATATAATAGCTACCCTAATAATTATTTTCAGTAATTTTATATCCTTTTGTCATTTTATCTTTATTAAATTTCCTGAAATTTTGAAATAAATTTTTTTTTATTCCATCTTTTCAAATTCAAATGTATAAAAATAGGTTTATTTTATTCTAAGGAGCTAGATGTTGTATAATCTTTCTGAGAATTATCAGTTGAAAAAAATATCTATTTTTATTTGTAGAAAATAAGATATAGAAATTTTTAAAATGTTTCACCTAAAAAATTGAAAATAATTTAATAAAAAGTAGTAAAAATGTAAATTATAAGTGAATAATCATATTTTTATTAGAATAATATCAGCTGCCTATTTTATGACATACTTAGATATGTATTTATTATTAAGATAAAATAAAGACGCTACTGATTTGATATCATAAGGAATATTGTTTTCAAAGAAAGATTTAGATCTAAATTCCTAATTTTTAGTAAATATTTTTACAAAAGGTGTTATATATTATTTCATTTTTATATATATTCTAAAAGTAGAATTATGCATATAATTTTTTGTATTACTCACATTGAAAGTGGGCATTTTTTAATATTTGTATACTTAAAAAGTTGGTAAATATAAGTTTTTATATTTGCTATAATATTGTCAATATCATTATGCAAATATGTCACATCTATCCTCAATTATATTTGTTAACAAAAATATATCAACATCATTATTTATATTGCAACTAGGATGCACCTATCAGCAGCCTATAAATCTTGTGTTAAATATAATAAAGTATCACTAACATTTGAGTAAGCAGGAAGGTTTGGAAATGGCCCATATGTCAAAGATCTATACTTATTCATAGTATTCTTCATATTCATCGATGTGTCTGCAGTGTACGACAACTTCGTGAGAGAAGAATCTTTTGTTTGAGTATAGCTTTCAATTTTAGTAATGCTAGGAAATTTTATATTTGTAGTTTGAGATTGAATATTATATGGTAACCATACATATAAATTATCATTGAAAAGCAAAGATTGTTTTTCATTTTGTTTAATTTGAGCTGGGTGAGGTTTGACAAATTTAGGTAATAAAAAAACACTAATATCTAGATTGGTAGGAAATTTAATGGCCTTCAAATCAAATCGGTACATAGTAAAATCTTTAAATCTAAATAATTATAAATTAGGTAGAATAATGAATTTAATAACTTTTCTGATGATTTCTTTTCCTTTTTAAAAGTTAATACATGAGATTTGTCATTTAAACTTTTAGCCTAAAAAGTAAAATAGGATTTATATATAATATATATAATTACTTTGGCGAATGTAAAGGCGACATTATCTTGTTCCTCTGGCTTAAGAGGGAATAAAAATTCTTCACATTTATCTACCATACAGTCGATTTTGATGTCATACTTCTTTCTAATCACATTACCTGATAGATCAATGTGTCTATCAATACTTGAGATCGTAACTTCAGCAAGAGCATAATTTAATATGACAAATAATATAGAAATTAAATATTTCATAAAAACGTTTTGGTTTGTATCACACGTGTATACTTATTTACAATATACAACAACTAGGAAAATATGTTTTTTGTTTAAAAAAGTTTATTATAGCAAGTTGGAAAAATATAAAAGGGCTTTATAAATTTAGAATTTCTAAGAATTTATTTTCAAAAATAGTATATTCTATTCAAAATATTAGTAAAATATTAAAATAAATTTAAATATTTTTCTTGTATTTTAATATTTTATCTTACTAAAATTTAAAGTTTATTTTCTTATATTTTGTAAACTCTAAATACTGATGGATATAAGAAATCTTTATCAAATAAAATATTTTATTTAATTTATCACTACTAATAACTATGATTAGAAAATTTATTAAGTGTATGAAATTTTCAGATATCCGAAGACAGAATTTGCTGAATATAATCATTTCTGAGTGAGCTACAGGAAAAATGAAATTTCAAAAAACCTACACGACAAGATAAAACCTTGTCATAGAGTCTTCACAGCATTTTTTGGATCTATATGTGCTTATTTTCTATGCTTGGAGAAATATCAGTATCACCTGAAACACATATTTAATCTGAAGCTGATACTTTATTAGATTGAATGTGACTTAGTGATCTGCATCGGGCCTAATTTTTTAAGCCCGGCCCGGCTCAAAATTTTTTTTATAAAGTTTTGCCTGGCCCGGATTTATTTAAATATAGATTAATTTTTATAATTACTCAAAATAAAGATATATGTTATATGGCGTCTACTTTCTATAAATAAAATCACATATTTTTATTTTACATAAAAAATTCAACATAAAATTGATAAATTTAGATATATTTTAAAAAAATTCTAAGCCAGACCCGGCCCGGCCCGAATCTTCTTAAAAAATATTAGGGCCGGCTCGAAGCCCGTTTGGGCTGGGCCGGGTACGTGCCGGGCCTACTTTTGCAGATCTTTAAGTGACTGCCGATTTTATTCAGTGGAATGTATTAATAAATTATTTATTATACAACAATTTTATGCAATATTTTTAAAAAAAATGGATTTGGCTGAAGTTATGAAGATTGCGAATATTATTATGTTACAACTTAGAAAAGACATAGAGAATATCAACCAGAAATTTCCCGAGATTTATGTGATTTTGGGATCAATAATCTTCTACTTTACCTATAAACACGTCGTTTCCATATTAACTAGGACTCAATTGATAATCATTGAAAAATAGCCATTTTTACTTTTGGATTTAATTTTGACTCAAATCAAAAAAGGATTGTGATTTATTAAGTTTTATCCAATTTAAAAATACTTTATCTCATAACTCCATTAGAACTGAGGATATATCTAATCTTGATATTGAAAAATTAAATATTTAGCTAAATTTTATTCAGGGAATAAAAATGTATCTTAAGACCAATTAATTTCAGAATTTAAATGGTGTGAAAGATTTATTTTTGTAGATAATCTTCCAAGAAATACAGTGGAATTCATAGTTTAAAATATATATATAATATTTCCAAATATTTTAAATTTACTGTATATTGTGACAATGACACCAATTAGTACAAGCACAAATGAGAGGACCTATTCTTCATTAGCGAGAATTGCTTTTTACAGGTTACCACTTCCTGCTGTTTACATTAAATAATAATATTGTTTAAAATTATATTTTTACTCACGATGATATCATAAAAATTATCCAGTGCCCGATTTTCGCGATAAAGATTTTAGCCAAAATCTTATTAGGGTCATTTTTAAAAATCGACCTAAATCGGGCTGTTAACAGCACTACATTCAATATCATAAAAATCATCCAGATCTTTTATTAATGCTTTAATTCATTCAAATTAATAATTAAGGAAATTTATAAATATATGATAGTGACAAAATATTATTTTCCTGCAATTTATTATTTTTTAACATTTAATTATCTTATTTTACCAGAAATGTATTGCATAATGTTTGGAATATCTACTTTATGAATTCCATAGTGTTGTTAATCGGCTTAGCCGAGTCGGCTCGAACAGAGCTCACCCAAATTTTGGGTCGTTTTTTTCGACTCCAACTCAAAGTTTTGGTCGTTTTTTACGACTTCGACCCGAGTTCAAGCCGAAAAAAACGACTTCGACCCAAAATATGGGTCGTTGTCGTTTTTTACGACTCCAACTCAAAATTTGGGTTGTATTTTTCGACTTAAACTTAAAATTTGGGTCGTCTTTTTCGTCTCAAACTTGAAGTTTAGATCGTATTTTTCGACTCCAACTCAAAGTTTGGGTCGTTTTTCTGACTCAGACTCAAACATCGGGTCGTTTTATTCAATCCGACCCAAAATATGGATCTTTTTTTTTAAAGACGACTTAAAGTTAGGGTTGCTTTTTTTCACCCCTAACCCAATATCTAGATCATTTTTTTCGACCAAAAGTCAAATAACATTTAGTATATATTAATATTATCGGCGGGAAAGTTACTTAAAGCTTCTTTAAATTATAATATTCATCATAGTTATATTTAAAATTTTTTAAGTGAAGATGTACCGTAGAAAAGTGCCATTTGTCATGATGGTTATTTTTGAACTTTTTTAAATAAAATAGATAAAAATATATATTGTAGACATGTTAAATCAAAATTTAAGTGATGATGTACCATAGATAAGTGGTTCATAATCGCTATTTTTGAACTTTTTTGAGTTTTTTTAAAGCAAATTGCTAAAAATATATATTCTAAACATGTTAAATTAAAAATTCAGTGAGGATGTATTATAGATAGGTGACAATTGTCATAATCGCTATTTTTGAACTTTTTCAAATTTTTTTAAAGGAAATATCTAAAAATATATATTCTAAACATGTTAAATTAAAAATTCAGTGAGGATGTATCATAGATAGGTGACAATTGTCATAATCGCTATTTTTGAACTTTTTCAATTTTTTTTAAATGAAATAGCTAAAAATATATCATAGATAGGTGACAATTGTCATAATCGCTATTTTTGAACTTTTTCAAATTTTTTTAAATGAAATAGCTAAAAATATGTATTCTAAACATGTTAAATTAAAAATTCAGTGAGGATGTATCATAGATAGGTGACAATTGTCATAATCGCTATTTTTGAACTTTTTCAAATTTTTTTAAGGGAAATATCTAAAAATATATATTCTAAACATGTTAAATTAAAAATTCAGTGAGGATGTATCATAGATAGGTGACAATTGTCATAATCGCTATTTTTGAACTTTTTCAAATTTTTTTAAAGGAAATAGCTAAAAATATATATTCTAAACATGTTAAATTAAAAATTCAGTGAGGATGTATCATAGATAGGTGACAAATGTCATAATCGTTATTTTTGAACTTTTTTCAATTTTTTTAATACAAATAGCTAAAAATATATATTCTAAACATGTTAAATTAAAAATTCAGTGAGGATGTATCATAGATAGGTGACAATTGTCATAATCGCTATTTTTATTTTTAGATATTTCCTTTAAAAAAATTTGGAAAAATTCAAAAATAGCGATTATGACAATTGTCACCTATCTAAGATACATCCTCACTGAATTTTTAATTTAACATGTTTAGAATATATATTTTTAGATATTTCCTTTAAAAAAATTTGAAAAAGTTCAAAAATAGCGATTATGACAATTGTCACCTATCTATGATACATCATCACTGAATTTTTAATTTAACATGTTTAGAATACATATTTTTAGCTATTTCCTTTAAAAAAATTTGAAAAAGTTCAAAAATAGCGATGACAATTGTCACCTATCTATGATACATCCTCACTGAATTTTTAATTTAACATGTTTAGAATACATATTTTTAGCTATTTCCTTTAAAAAAATTTGAAAAAGTTCAAAAATAGCGATTATGACAATTGTCACCTATCTATGATACATCCTCACTGAATTTTTAATCTAACATGTTTAGAATATATATTTTTAGATATTTCCTTTAAAAAAATTTGAAAAAGTTCAAAAATAGCGATTATGACAATTGTCACCTATCTATGATACATCCTCACTGAATTTTTAATTTAACATGTTTAGAATATATAATTTTAGCAATTTGCTTTAAAAAAACTCAAAAAAGTTCAAAAATAGCGATTATGACAATTACCACTTATCTATGGTACATCATCACTGAAATTATAGCGATTATGACAATTACCACTTATCTATGGTACATCATCACTGAAATTTTGATTTAACATGTCTACAATATATATTTTTATCTATTTCATTTAAAAAAGTTCAAAAATAACCATCATGACAAATGGCACTTTTCTATGTTACATCTTCACCTAAAAATTTTAAAATATAACTATGATGAATAGTTAATCAGAGCATTATAATTTAAAGAAGCTTTAAGTAACTTTCCCGCCTATAATATTAATATATACTAAATGTTATTTGACTTTTGGTCGAAAAAAATGATCTAGATATTGGTAGGGGTGAAAAAAAGCAACCCTAACTTTAAGTCGTCTTTAAAAAAGATCCATATTTTGGGTCGGATTGAATAAAACGACCCGATGTTTGAGTCTGAGTCAAAAACGACCCAAACTTTGAGTTGGAGTCGAAAAATACGATCTAAACTTCAAGTTTGAGTCGAAAAATACGACCCAAATTTCAAGTTTGAGTCGAAAAATACCACCCAAATTTTGAGTCGGAGTCGTAAAAAACGACCCATATTTTGGGTCGAGGTCGTTTTTTTTTGGCTTGGACTTGGGTAAGTCGAAAAAAACGACCCATATTTTGGGTCGAAGTCGTTTTTTTCGGCTTGAACTCGGGTCGAAGTCGAAAAAAACGACCCAAACATTGAGTCGGAGTCGAATAAAACGACCCGAGCTTTGGGTCGGGGTCGCGACTTGCGGCGTTTTAACAACACTAATTCCATATAATATTTCCATAAACTTTTGAACTTACTATAATTTATACTCGTTTTTCTGTAGATTTTTTTTATA